GGCCCCCGTGGCCAGGCTCTTGGGGGACGAAGGGGCAGCAGCAGGCTGGCCCCAGAGCGGAGTGCTGGGAGGGGGCAGTAAGCTCCAGGTTGATAACAAATTGCGCGTTGAACCGGGGCGGCGGTGATCGCACATGACTGCGTGTCGCAGTAGGAAATGTGGGAGAGGGAGGTCGGTGGGGGTGTGTGGCTGGGGAGTATTTTCATTTATGGCGCTTCTGCATCTTTTCGCTCGCTTAGGTGTGTTTGCCGGTGTCTTCTACGTGAGAAACGGTTTGTGGTGCATCTCCTCACATCATAGGTGCTGTAGGTAGAGAAACATTGCTCTGGTTTAGAAAGCTGATTTTCTAAAACGTCTCTAGTTTTAAGAGCAAGGGAGAGAAGGAGATAACTTTGGGGGTTTCAGGTAGTGGAAATTTAGTTGTGACCATTATGAATAGGCTTAGCTGATTAGAAAGTGTTGTATTTTTCTTTGGTTTCTGGGGCTTCTCTTCTTCTGAGTCCTGTTTTACTATGTCTATCTAAGTTGTCTATCTAAGGTGGGAGCTCACATTGGTATAGAAACTGCCTAGTTTTCCCCAAAATTGCACAATTCTGGTCTTCCTTCTTCCAAAATATCTATTGTCCTTTCCCGTATTCTCTTCGATTTATTCTCCATCTCCTTTCTGGCACCCATTAATTCTTCATTGGTTGGTGCCTTGTTGCCTGAGTTCAAGATGGATTAAAGATTTGTTTAGCCAATTTTTTTTAATTATTGTTTCTATTAGTCTTTTTGTATTTTTTTCAGGAATGATTATTTATCTCTCTTTTAATTGTCTTCTTAGACAGTTCCTGCAATTAAAATATACATCAACTCAGAATTTCCAGTCATTGTCTGTCAACGTGCACACACTGCAATAATTTATAAATACATTTCTGGTGCATGGTTATGGATCACTGGAATGTTCAGTGACTACTAACGTGTCCATACTGTAACTAAACAAATGCATGAGTTTTCAGAGAAGTGGAATAATTATTAAAGTTATAAGGTCAGAAGAAATCAATGGAGGATTTGACAGTAAGTTATGTGAAGCCTGATGATCCATACCTGTTTATACGAGCCACGTTTTTCTGATAGAATACTATGTAGAAGAGTGACCTTAGAAATGCAGTTTGTTTTGCTTTTCTTTATATTTGTGTCAGCCTTGATGACAGAAACAGTCTGAGATCTTAGTATTCTGAAAGGAACGCTCATTCCTGTCTGTGCATTGACATTGTCATGTCAGGTTTTAAAAAGCTTAAAGAGTTCTGTTTCATAACACCTAATTGATAGATTTTTCTCTTGCAGGTGGGAATAAGGATAACATCAGAGCGGGATGCAAGAAATGTGGCTACCGTAAGTCTGTAGTAAGCAGTATGAAGATGCATATGATACAGCGTTTTCTTCAATTTATGATCTCTGAACTGCCTTTTGGAGAAAAGAAAACAAGTTTCTTCCATTGTTGCCCAGACATTTCTCAGTTTAAGTTACCATATTTGTTTTTCTTTTTTCCTACTCTTTCTTTGGTCCCCCACGCTTAACACTGCTTTCCAAAACCATTGAGTTTTTCAATGAAAAAAATTTGCTGCTGTATTCATATATGCTTCATTTGCAATGCAATTAATTAAAGACCGTCCTTTAAATTCGAAATTTCATGACATCTAGCTTAGTACTTACCTAGATGAATAGACCATCATGCTTCTTCTGAGCCATTGTAGGAGTTTTGCTGCAAAACTTGAGCAGACGTTTCTGCACAAGTTATGTCCAATGCATGCTTTGAAATGAAAAATAGTTTAAAATTTGTATGATCTTCTATGCTAAGAAAATCTACTTCATGCAGTCTATAGTTCAAGAAACAGTATATTTTCTCTACTTGCAAGTTCTCTAGTTAGCATTTGGCTTATGCTTTGCATTATGCTGTCATAAAAGCATGCCTGTGGCTACTCTCCTGCTGGACATGGATTTGTCCTCACGTAGAATTTAATTTTGTAATCACTAAGGCTTGTTTTTGAACAGTGAAGGGAAAAAAAACCCCTTACAGGGATTTAAGTTATGTATTTACGAGCATTATGTGGGGTGAAGGAAAAAAAAAGCTTGCTTGCTTCTTTCACTGTAGACTTTGCCTCCAACAAATTTTGTCAATGAGTTGCTTATGTGTATCAGTTCTTCCAAAGGAGCATGGATATTTGTATAGATTTAGTGATTGATTTGTAGGTGAAATATCTCCAGCTTTTTGGAAAGGGAGGAAACTTGTAGTCAAGTCACTCAGCTGGTATTTATGTTTCTAAAAGCTCCGTCTTCAGGATGTAGGTTTTTTGATAGGAGCAAGCTGAGTTTGTTTCTGTTGCTACTTGAATTTCTGTATTTTTAGCATAGTCTCTTCCAAACCATATATTCAGTTTGTTTTATCTTTCTGTAATGTTGCTATAGGTATATACAGCTGTGAGGTGTCTATCTCTGGTCATGATTATTGAGACATAACTTAGAAAACTAAAAATACTTGTCTAGGTAGTAGTATAGGTAGTAGTTTGGCCAGCATCATGTACCAGTTATTAAAGAGAAATTGTATAATGTATGTAATATATGTATTAAAGAGAAATATATATTATATAAGGGAATAAAATTGTTGTGTTTTGCTAGTGGGAGAGAGAAAGAGTAATATAACACACTTGCTCTAATTTGAAAAATATTTCACTCCTTGCTTTGAAATGTTTCTTCAGGAAAGCATTTGAGATCATTAAAAAATAGAAAGCAGAGGTTGGATGAAATCTTTAACTTACAGAAATATGAAGGGAGGTCATAAAGCACCATTAAATGGAATACCTTTGCACAGCCTCTCAAAATTCTTCAGGGCTTTTTCAAAGTAAGCTTTCTCTCCATTCATAGATCGCAATCTAGCCTTTTCACTTACCAAACTGAATAATACTAAAATGCATGTTCCTTAGTTTCTGATATTATTTGGTAATTTGTAACTTTTCTTTCTGAATATTTTTTTGTTCAGCTGGTCACCTCACATTTGAATGCCGAAACTTCCTCCGAGTGGATCCCCAAAGAGATATTGTTTTAGATGTTAGCAGCACTAGCAGTGAAGACAGTGAGGAAGAAGAACTACAAAGATTACAAGCCCTTCGTGAAAAAAAGAGTATGTGGGTTGGGGTTTTTTTTGTTTTTTAAAGAGTAAATCACATAATGGTCTTCTGAAATACTGGCATGAAGTACTGGAATTTTATCCTTTTTTGGAATTACTATTAGTGGTTTAAAAGAAGGATTTTAATTCATCTGTTCAGACTTCAGAGATGTGATACACCTAAGTCTTTTTTATTATAATTAGTTCCTTTTATAGGAAATTAATAATTACCCATTTGGAACATCTCAAAAAGGGCTCTCAAATAGAAAAGATTGTAAGACTGGTAATAAGCAGCTGCTTAGAAGAAAATGATGTGGATGTTCTGAATTAATCCTTTGATTATTGCATATAGTTCAAACATCCTAAAGTTGATAGTAACTTAAAAATAATGACAAATAAGAAAAGTGAGTTTCTCTCCTGTTTCTAAGTAGCCTTTTGACTGAAACACCTAGTGAATTGAATTCATATTTGGAGAGATACTGTTCCCTTTGTGGAAGTTTTGAACATCAGCTGTGTGTCAGAGAGAATAGGTGGGTTAATTAGTTACCAGGTACTTGAGTTCATTTAAATTTGGACTCTGAAAAGGCCTTTCCCCTAAATACGAAGGGGAGGCTGTTCCACCAAAGCATGTTTTAAGTGTGCCAATCTAAAATTAATTTTCTTAATTTTTTTTCTACACGCTTGAAATATCACATTTTGTTCTGTTGCTCTCCCTTCCAGTCTCTACATGCAGTTCCTACCCAAGATACTATTTAGGAAGGAGAAGAGATAGAGAGACCCCTGTGTTTTGCTATAACACTTCAAAAGAAATGCATAGTCTCTGCATGTCAGAGTGCTGAATTGGATCTGCAACAGCCCTTTCCTGGAACAAATCTCCTTGGAAAAACTTGTTTCCATTTGTTATATGCTTTTGAATGTAGGATATTGGGTTTTTTTTTTTTTTTTTTTTGTCCCTAAACATATTAAAGATGGCTGTCTGCAGGAAAAACAGGTCTTTACTGGATCTTGTGATACTCCTGTCTCTTATATTTTCTTTCTCAACATGTGGCTGCTATGTGTAGTTTTAAGGGCATCTGTATCTTTAACTCATTTAGACATTTTGGAAATGTTTCCCTCCCCCCCCCCCTTTTTGGTCTTTAATCCTGCCTTCCTGTTTCTTGTTTCAGTAAACCTCAGGACCCTTATAAGAAAATAAGTAACAACATCCTCCTCTCTGAACCTAAATGTTTCTTTTACATTGAGTTTGTGTTGGTAACTGTGTTCCTACTGGCTTTGAAACAAACATACAAGCATGACTGCACAAGTGATCTCTAGCCTTAATAAAGCTAGGGTTTTCCTGAGCTCTGTTTCTAGATGGTGGAAAGAGGAAGGAGGGTGACAGGTTTGTGTAGAAGACAGGTCATAGCAGAAGCCTGACTTCTATTCACCTATTAACTGGCAAATTCGCCTTTCTGGGCAGAAGATGCTTTTTTTTCATTATCTCTTCCACCCCACTTCAGCAGCTCCTAAAACACTGCTAAGTAGAAGAATTGGTTCTGGTATAGCAAATCCTGTATGTCTTCAAACCTAGCCTTTTGGATTTTAATGAGGTTGTTTTGGACAGATATGTAGTTAATTTTTAAAGCAACTCAGAAAAATGAGTTGGTGAAGCAATGTTATTTCACAAATATACTTAAAAGTTATAAAGGTAATTGACAAGGAGGTCTGTAATGGTAGAAGATTTAGTTATCTTTTGTTTATATGCTTGCTATGCTAACTATTCCTCAGTAACATAATTCAGAGTCAGATATTAAGGTAGCTAAAGATGTCTTTTCCATGAAAGTGCAGGCAATACTAAGTGGAACTTAATAATGTTTGAATATTTGTATATTGTTGTCACATCATTAGTTCAGTCTCTGAAGGGTTCCTCTTCTATGATAGAATCGTTCAAACTCAAAGTGCGGTCTTGATAAAGTACTATTGGTGGTGTCTTTGCAGATGTTTCTTTTCAGTCAAAACTGCATCTTCACCATAACAGTAGGAGCTTTCTAGCTGTCCTTTTCTTTAGTATTTCTCTTCCATGTTTAGGTTTTATTCAACTGCACCTGGAAAGTGGGGATAGGCCAGAGTAGGAGCAACTTTTCTAGCAATTTTCACAGACAGTATACTGACAGTTAATTAAAATTTATCTTAGTTATGACTTAACTATTTGCTGTTTCCACATGAAATGAGGTTGTGTACAAGTAATTCGGGTAAGCCTGAGTGAAAATACTTTTTTATTATTTGGTACATTCTAGTTCCATGACCTGTTTTCAGACTTGTGCAAGTCTTAAAAATACAGAATAATGGATATGGAAACCTGAAGTTGATGTAAATGTGAAGGACAAGTCACAATTTTTACTATGTTTTACAGGTATTTCTTCATTCTCAGTCTTTAGATAAAAGTCCTTGGAATGTAAGTGGTATAACAAGTTCTGCTGCTCTGCAAATTATTTCTGAAATTAATTTACTAGGGAAGGAAAAGAAACTTTTTTAACAGCAATTTTATGCTAATTTTACACTGTTGTTGAAACCGTTCTTTTAATGCTAATCTTAATTCGGAAATGAAGTATTTTGTAAAGTGTAACTTCTTATCCACAGATTTAAATGAGGAAGAAGAAAAAAAGAAACAAAAAAGAAAAAGCAAAGAAAAAACAAAACTAAAGAGAGCAAGGAAAAGGTAACTCTTTCACACACCTCATTTAATTTCAAAACAGAACTTTAGAAATATTCAGAAATATTTAGAAATATTCCATGTTGGGTGTTTTGTTTTGTTTTTTCCTCCTATAAAACATTGTCTCTTTTGATCCAATATGTTTTGCCAAGTACCTCTTTGGTTTGAAAAGCTTCCTGTTTTCCAGTGAGAACTTGTCTGGTTTCTGAATGGTGGTAAAGTCACCAGGCTTTCTGCTGCAGCGTTAGGACCATGAAAGTCTGGAAAATCTAGCAAGGCTTGGAAGTTCTGGAGGCCTGCTCTTCTGAAATAGCAGTGCTCGCTCTGGTTGCCCGACAATGAGGAATCCCAGGACGTGGTGCAAAAAGTAGAACAACCAGAACAAGTCAGCAGAACTCTGATTGGCAGCCCGGAGATCCCCAGCTTAGCCACATGGTGGGGCTTCTCTGGAGTTCACTGACCCTAATAAGATCCTCTGTTGCTCCTCTCTCCTTTGTTGAGTGACGTATAACTGTCAGTAGGAAAACATTTTTGCAGATTTACTTAAAATGTGCTGAGTCTTAACACTCCTGTTGCTTTAGAAGCCCCAAAAATTGTTATTCCAGTTTCAAAAAAAAAAAAAAGTCATAATACTCAAATTGTGAATCTGAATTTTGGCCTGCTGACTGATTTCTTTAGATAAGACTACTCACTGATTGGCTGTTGGGACTATTGATGAGATAGTCTCCCAGGAACTGCACTGAAAGCCAGGAAACGTGTAATGTATATGGATGCCACAATAACATATTCTTCAGAAACAAAATAAGTGCAAAGAAACAGGACTCAACACTAGTCATATTGGCAGTTTTCCCCTTCCTTATTTACATACTGGAACTCTAACCTGTACTTACAAAGAGAGTATAGAGGAGTCAAACTGCTTGCTGTAATCTTTAGATGCAAGTAATAGTCAATCTTGTAAACCGTACCATAAAACTGCACTCTTGAGTAAATTAAGCAGGACTTTTTTATTGTCATCTTACTTCTTGTACATATATAATCACTTCCCTCATCACTCTTTGTTAGAGACAAATGTTATGAGCTGCAAGAGCATCTAACTTGGTCATACCTGTTTCTCGTAACTTTTTTATATGAGAAATACATTAAGATTTATCTGAAGGCATTACTTGTAGTGTTGATCCAGATCATGTGATACTTAAACTTGAAGCTCTATCTTATTGTCCTGCTTACATTCTGTTTTCTTGAGGTCTATAATCTGAGTGGTTTTGTTAAGGTTGAAAAACACACAACTTGCCTATTTCATTGTGAATAATTCAATACTATAAACATACTGCTTTTTCTGGCAAGATCATCTAATTAGAAAAGTCGTTCTTCAGTTGAACACGTAGACAGAGATGGCCATAAGCTTTCCGGATGCTACTGTATGAATTCTACACCAAATTTAACTTGTGATATTATATAGGTAGTGGTTCATTTTTCCTCCTCTGATTACTTGTCAATCTGTATTTTAGATCTTCCTCATCAAGTCAAGCTGAAGAGGATAAGCCAAAATCAAAAAAACAAAAAGCACAAAAAAAAGAAAAGAAGAAGGAAAAAAAGAATAAATCTAAGAAAGGAAAACATCACAAAAAAGAGAAAAAGAAGAGAAGAAAGGAAAAAAGTTCATCTTCCGATAGTTCAGACAGTTCTAGTAGTGACTGAGCTGCTGGCCTGTTTTTGTTTCTACTTCCATAGAGACTAGAATGATTTTCCTTTGAAATATAACCTATTCATGCTTTGCAATGCTGTTGTTTTAAAGTGATGGATATATATATTTTTTGGAAGAAATCTATTTGCAAATATCAGTGCTTCAAATTATTAAATGGATGATTTGGAAAGAAGCTACTCTTCTATTTCAAGTTTATTAGTACCCTACCATGCAAGTTGGACTTGTTTTTGACTCTTAGTTCAGTTTTGGTTACTTGAATTTTGAATCCTTTATACTAGGATATGGCAAACCTCAGTTTGCAAGTAGTTGCATGGAAAGGTTCAGACTTAAATATGCTTTGTATTGGAACTGTTAAATCAAATTTGGAAATTTAAATAATGCTTTCTGTTCTTTTATTCTTTAAATAAATGTATATGTTTTGTATAACACTTTCTACCTATATAAGCAATAAGTGCAAATGAGGAACAGCTGGGGGCTTGGGAGAAGGGAAGGAACAGGAGGTAAGGAGCTGCGGGAGACTGCTCCTTCAAAATTGATCAAGTAATAGATTTTGAAATATACAACAAATACACATTCTTTTGGCAGGATCACTGTGTGAGCGAGCTGAAAATGAACAAACAAAAGCAAACAGACCCTATGGATCTTTCACAGTCCTTTTGTTCTACCTAGGTTCTGTTTCACGGTTGCAGCTACTGCAGCTTTGAAGACATAAAATGCCACTTCTTAAGACTAGAAACCTTTGCGGCAAGATTGTTTACAATAATATAAGTGCTGTATTAATGCAGTATGGGGTGACTAATGCCGACAATTATCTAAGCAGAGCAAACCCAAAGACTGACATTTAACAAGAATCTTGAAGTGTACATTCATTCTAATAAACCCTCCCACTGAAAACTTTTTTTTCCTCTTGTGTAAAGTGAACAAAATATCCTGTTGCAGCTGGTAACAAAATTTACCACTTGCTATTGGGGAGTAAGGGTAAGCATGTAAAAATCTTACAAGAATTGGATGCCACAGTGTCCAATTATCTTATACCAAGATAGGGTACATATTCAAAAAAGATTGATACACCTAAAATCTGCTCAACTTAAAATTATGATCCTATTCTTGGAATGCTTAAACCTCATGGTGCCTACGTTTACAGCTTCTTGAGAATTCCCTTCGTGCCTGTGCCTAAGCAAAAAACAAAACCATGGAACTGCTTCCACCTGACCAGCTAGGCATGCAGCTGCTGTTTAAGCCTCACAGTGGTCAAAAGATGAGGAAGAGTAATACCTAAGCTTCCTTGAGAATGAAACTCATTGCTTTTATTTTTTTAAAGTGGGTTAAAGCATTGAGTCAGTAAAAAAAGTTCTATGGTGTTTTAGTGGTTGGTTCATTTGGTCTGAAATTGTGGTACGTAGGTCTAATTTCTTTCAAATTTGTATCTCCCAGGCCAGTATCCCAATTATTAGGCAATGCTGCTTCTGCTATTGAAGCTGTGCTAGTGAACATCAGACAATGAAAGACTCGTGGAAGCTGCAGAATAAAGGAAAATAACCTGCAACCTTCTAAGTAGGTCTCTTAGTAGAGGATGCCAGGAGTCCTTGCATCTGTTCTTTTTCTTTGATCTGTTCTCTAATTTTTAATGTTATCACCATGTGACTGAAAAAAAATTAGACTCCTTAATTAGCTGGTGCCTGTACATAAGACAGAAAAGGAATAGTGTAATGAATGTTTCTTTCTGCAGTACTAATTTAATGGCTTCCATCACCTGTTCATTCTAGTCTTCTTAATGTTGCTGTGGCTATTAATGGAGCTGCAGTGCAGGTGAAAAGCAGTGTTTATTTTTGTCTGGATTAGTTCTCTAAGCCATTCTGTAGAAGTCATTCTGTAGAAGGCAACAAGGGAACTGTGGGCTACTTAAGCCAGTAGTGCTGCCAAAGAAAATATGTAATCAAGCCACAGCTTAAGATGCAACTCAGTGCATTTTTCCCCCCAAAATGCTCCTTACTTAATGGTATTGAGAGGGTTATTGGTGTAAGGGGAATTCATAGCTCCGATGCAATTCTCCCACGATCTTCTGTGGGCCTGTCAGCTACGGAAAATGGGAGTTTGTACCTTACTTGATTTTGAAGGCTTCAGGTGTTTTATCTGAAAACAAGGAACTGAAGAGTTTTACTAAGCTTTACGTACTAGAATGACCACATAGCAGTACGACTGCAGTTTATTGATGAAACTTTATTAGGGTTAGTATACTGGTATATATCAGTATAATTTAGCTCTTAAATCATTTTTTAGTGACAAAGAAAAGGGGTGGGGGCTTAAAGTTCAGAAAAGTAATTGGTATAAATTTTAGTAGTGTTCCTCGTGCTTCTGTGCAGTTTTAAATAGCCATTTTAGATTTTAGTTCTAATTGTTGAGATCAGAAGAGTACCTACCTAAATGATAGTGCAATTACTTTTCATGTAACATTATAGCAATTCTACTTATAATGATATTTTGTACAAAAGCCTAAGGCATGAATTTCAAAGTTCAGGTTTTACCACTTGTCAACAGCATACATATTTTCGTATGTGTGAAAATACAGATAGATAGTCTTAAGATGGTGAAAAGAAGAACAGCTGATCAACATCAGCAACAAATTTCTGTATGTACATTTATTTTAAAATACTTGATCTTAAATTATTTAGTATCCAGCCCAGATCTGAGGAGAAGGGAGTTTCAAGACAGTTTGGAATGTAATAGAAATACTAGTTTAAGCTATGCTCCATGCTTGAATTATTTTTTATTTCAATCCTACTGATTACTCATTTTCCTCTATTTTAAGTCATTTGTCATCTTACAGAAAGTTCACTAAAATACATTAAAAAATACCTGTTTCTTTAGCCAAAGCAACTTATGAAGCTTACAGAAATTATTTTGGTGGTAGTGGCAACTCGTGTTTTAAACAAAGTTTTGGTGCTCCACTCTGTAGGAAAATTTGGTGTCAGCTCACAATGATACAATTATGCCTTAACTGATCCTGGACTCCGTACATTCCAAAGGATAACACTGACTTATACTTTACAGATGTTCTATCTTTTACAGATGTCTCTTGTCTTTTACTTGTTTGCAAAAACAAAAGCATTACTCCTAGCTCTGTCTTCACTGAATCATTCTTTTCGCTCTTATCTCCCTTTTCTTCCACTTGCAGAGAAGGCATCTATTCCAAAACAGATGACCTCCACTAGTTGTTCTAGCTCTAGTTTCTAGTCTGAAAAGTACGAGTTTTCTGTGATTTGGGCATTAATTCCACTTGTTCAGAAAACAGATCAGGTGCAAAATTACTTGATCCAAAAACCCAAACATTAATTTAGCTGAAATATTACAGATTAAAAAAAAAAAAAAAGGAAAAAAGGACTTATGGCAATTACAGGTAGACAGCAAGAACAAAAACCCAAAACTTGTAAAAACTATCAGTCTACTGTGATAAGGCAGTAGTTTCATTTTCCTTATAATTAAGGAGTGCGAGTATATGAGATTATTAAATTTACTGTGCAGGCTTCAGTTCTCCATGTTTATGTTTAGAAAGGAGTGAGTTAAACTCTTGACTTGGGCTTAGATGAGAAGTCTCTGAATATTTACACTTGTAAAATCCTGGGTTTTACAAACTTTCAAGAATTAAACAAGGTAATTACTGCAGGGGAGAGAAAATCTATTTTTGAAGACAACAGGAAGCGTCAAATAATATACCTGAGGCTTCAGATAATTTATAACAGAAACCTTTTTAAGAAAACTATTAGACGTTCCGTTGCTGTTAAGTGCCTCAGACCTCAGAAATACCCGAGCAGTTACCTTAAACTTTTCTAAAATGGCATTTGACTAAAGAATTTTATGTCTGTATTTAGCTAACCAGTACATTCTGGTTTGCTATAGAAAGGCCGACTAGCCTGACAACAGTTAATACAGGGGTAATTACTACCACTACTACTAAGTTCCCTTTTGAGGATCTTTCTCAGTTCAGCTTTCTGTTGAGGTACTGGAATTAAAGAAATTATTGTCTTAGTAAGCCCAACTTTAGAATAAAAGAGGTTAGGAAGATGGGGAGGATAGAGTTTTGCCTCTAAAAACAGACTAGGTTGCTTGTGCCAGGGACTAGGAATGCATGGTACTGGAGGAGGCTGAAACATTGGAATCTAACAGAAAAAGGCTTTGTATGGATTTGTACCAATGAGAACTTGTGTATTTATTTCAGAGGAGAAAGAGCAGGCTCGTAATCCTTTGAAAGATATAATTTTTTATATAAAACTTTGAAATCCTCAAGAAAATCTGTTCTGTTACATTAAATTCTACTAATTTGCTTTGCCAAACCTTTCTAAATCTCTAGGGTTCAGAACCTGAAATAATGCTCTCTTTCTACAACAGTTACCAGATGTGTTCCATGTGCAATTGCTGTTTCTGCTGTTACTGTATCTTCTCCTGAAAGAGATTAATGGTTTGAATCTGGAAAAAAGAAAGTGAAATGTGTGTTGCTCTTGGGATCAGCAACTTTCTCTCTCTGTCCTTTTTTTTTTCCCCCCAAGCTTCTGAAGCTTTATTACTTTTCCTTCTAAGTCGCAGATCAGAAAAGATTTAAAAGCCTCTTTTTTATGCTGATAGTACAAATTATTTTTTTCCTAGATATCTAAAAAAAAATTCTCCAAGCCAACCCTTAGAAAACAGGATCTGAGTAAACTAAAGGGAGCAAAAACAGAGCAGAAGAAATATTTCTCTTCTGTTATAAAATGACTATATGTATAGATTACTCTTCATTTGACGGATAAAAATGAATAAGCTATTCCTATTATGAGTGAAAAAAATCTCACATTTCATATTATTAAAATTAAGGGTGGTTTTGCTCATTTCTGGATGCTTTAAATCAGACCGCTTGTATTCCCCAACAAAGCCTTAATTTAATAAGTTCCCCTCACCCACCCAAATTTGGAAAATGCATTGTACTAAGTTTGTTTCAGTAAACTGTTACTGAAGGCACTCAAAAGCAGAAAGATGAGAAAGCAGCCTTTGAGGAGGAAGATATTTTCACTCCAGAGATATTGCTATAGGAATGTTTATAGGAAACAAGAAGAAAACTTGACTTTTCATCTAGCAAAATGCAGGCTGATAAGGGTATGGCCCTTCCTAAGTATTAGGGAGAGAGGAAGTAGACAAACAGCAAAGATGGAAAACTTAAAAGATAACATAAGGATACAAGCAAATAAGCATTATTTTTCCAATTTCCAGCCTAAATTTATTCATGGACAAAACTTTCTATATATCACAGGACAGAAGTTCCAGAAGAGCAAGAAATAAAACTTCTTAAAGATGGAGCTTGGCAAATATAATAGATTATAGGAGGATGTGGTTGCATGAGGCAAGAAGAGACTGGACAAATAGAATCAGATGGTCTTTCTGAGTCCAGGATTCTGCTTGTACTGATGTTTAACTTCATTTAAAACAAAATCCAAAAGGATATAAATAGAAATAAATAAAATTAAATAAAATTTATCGATCATAGGAAATAAGGGGAAGTATCAAGTACTAGTAAGGATGAAGAAATATACTTGAAGAGGTCAGAAACAACAGCAGAAATCAGGTAGAGAATCAACCTAAAAACTGAAGAAAATCAGCCAGTTGGGGCAGCAGTAAATCTGAAGGAAGCTTAGCTATGATTTAGTTTTACAAAGTTGCTGCACAAAAAGCCTAGGCCTACATCCTTAAAGCTGTCACATTGCAGGAGGGGAAGTCATTAGTGTGGCACTCCACAACTCAAATGTTATGGAAACAGTGCAAAAACTGGAACAGTTCAGAGAGCCAAGGGAAAAGTGTGTCGGACTAGCAGCATGAGGAAAGAACTGGACAGCAGATTATGTCTACGTCCAGAGCAAGATAACTTGGAAA